CATTCTGTTCATGATATAAATGTAAGATATTTACTGGGTGTTCGGATTTATATGTCACTTAGTATATTTCAACTTTTTTGTGACATACCGTTAAAATCGGGATAAACTAGAGTAGTTTTTGAAGGAATTCTAAGAACGTGAACGCTTTCAGTTTTTTTTACAGAACGTCAAAATTGAGACTTACATTTTTTTGTTCTTCTTTGTAACCTTTTGTGAGTTTATAAATAAAAAAACATGCTGCTGGCAAGTAATGTTGATTTTGTAAGATTGATACATCACCCATTAAGATAAATTAATCATTAGGTGGACATACTCTTTATTTTTTTTTATTTCACTTTGTGTATTACATTTTGGAGGTTTTATTAAAAAAAAATCTACATAATTAATTCCGTTGGGCTAAAAACTGTTTGAGGGACCTGTTTTCTGTTTTTTTTTGGGATATTTTACATGAGCATTAAGATTTAGAAAATTCTGGAAACAATGATGTCTTTGAAAATCTCAAAAATCTTGGGAACTGTGATTACCGTAAGTGATTGAAGATTTCGAAAATGAGAATCTCGAACAATTTGAACAGTTTGCATTTTTGAAAATTTTGAAGATATAGAACGTTTTGAACCTGTAATGTCTAACGTAAAATGTGCAGCGCTTTTCTCAAGGGAGTCTCTTCACTACCTTATTCGAACGGGTCAAGTTGTCAAGCTGAAATTGATCTGATGAAGTTGACTCATACTAGGTTAAAGTATTTTAACGTAGAAATGCCTCATCTCGTATTTTTATTTCAAGTAGAATGAGGGGTCGTGCGATGCATTGTTTTGAAGTTTCTTATAATAAATAAATAAATAATTAAATAGCGTTTACTTCCCAACAGTTAAGGAAACCATTTACAGGACAATCTAAGATAAATCAAGATAACAAGAACAGAAAACACATAAAAAGCAGGGGATTTCATCTAAAGAAAAAAACAAACAAGCAAAAGAAGCAAAAAAAAACATTTCACTGTGTATTTCATGTATATCACAATAATTTGTGCGAGCCCTGTCACAACAAAATGTTTCAACTGTACGAGTTTGAATAGATGGAACAACAGTTTATTTGAGCCACAATCCCATTAGCATCAATTTGATTGTGCAAATACACACACAAATAATAAACATGTAGAAGGGTGTAATAGGTTTAAAATATTAACAATGAATATTTTGATAATATATAGTAGAAAACACCACCTATATCACTCCCTAATCAAATTTGCAGCATAAAAATAACACGTGTTGCAATTACAGCATATCAACCTATTTTCATTTCAATGTAAAATAAGTCTATAACGCATAGGTGGCTGTGAAAAATAAAAGCCATGACAATTGTTTTTATTAATCACAGCTGTCAGAATACGTTTAAAATAGTTTTGGGCAGTTAATTTTCAAAATATGTAGATGAAAGGTTATTATATTAGTGAGAAAATTCGGTTATTGATAACTATATCTTTTAATTCTGGGAAATGAAACTCAGAAATTGCAACTTTGTTAGACTTATCGCGGTACAGTGTGAGAAATATTGTTAGAAGATATAACGTAACTGGTTCAGTTAATATTAAGCCACGATATATGAAAAAAATCAATATCACAAATGCCGAAGAGCATTAAGAAGAATAATCGTGAAAAACAGGCGTGCCAATTATTTACAATTAAGTGCTCTGTGGAGTGACGCTGTTGGAAGGAGAATTTCGAGGTCCACAACTCATAGAGAGGCCCACAAACTTTGATTTAGCACTTGCAAGGTCAGTCTTCTTATAAAAAAAGTGAAGTAAAAACACTAAAGTTGCACAACCTGTTTATATACCAAAGAAAAGCCACTATTAACTCCACTGCAAAAAAAAAATCGGCTTAGATGGGCTAAAGCACATAGACAATGGACACCTCAACAATGGTGTGGAATACAATGGAGTGATGAGGCCCGAATCGAAGTTTGTGTTGGTTACAGTCGCAGTAGAGTTATTCGCAAAAAAATGAAGCATTCCAATTTGACTGCCTGAAGAGAAAAGTGAAATTTCCAGCATCCATTATGGTCTGGGGCAGTATGTCATCAAAAGGAGTAGGAAAACTTCATTTTATGGATTTAAATGTGGATGCAAACAAATATTTGGCAATTTTAGAAGAACCGATTTTACCAGTGATGGAAGAATGTTTGACATCCGGCCAAGATTTTGTGTTTCAGCAAGATGGTGCAGCGTGCCGTACCTCAAAAAAGGCTATAAAATGGATGGAAGAAAATAATGTACCACTTTTGAAATGGGTTTCTAGCAGTCCAGATCTGTCACCTGTTGAAACTTTGTGACACAAGATGAAAAAGGTTCTACGACAAGATCCTACTCGTACAATCACCGAACTGAGACTAAAGCTTCAAGAAATATGGGATTGTTTTACACCAAATTTTTGCCAAATCTATGCCCCAAAGAATTTCAGCCGTATTAAAAGATAAAGGTGATGTTACCCAATGGTAATCTTTTAATTGTTGCTTTGTTAACTTCGCGCATTTATTCGCACATTGTTTATTTGTTCAGATGTTCTATTAGTTATAGGTCTAAGTGATTTCAAATATGCATTTTTTACGGCTAGAGTGTATCTAAAATGTTTTTGAGAAAACAAATTGTTTTAGAAGTAAATATTTTCGTCATATTTAGTTTATAAAGGCATATTTTGGTACAAATCTTGAAGTAGGCCAACTGAAGTGGGAAGGGGCTCGTATACTGTCAACGTTGAAAGATAAAAGTTTTAGAAACTTTCTCTCAACATGCTCAAGAGAATCAATGTAGCAGTTGTAAATTGGGTTCCAAATTAACGATGCATATTCCAATTTCGATCTAATATATGCAGAATACAAAACCAACAGTGATTCTGGGCGGCTAAGGTTTCTGAAGCTGCTCACAATAAAACCGTACGCCCGCGAAGCTTCACTCACCTTTTGAGCTATGAGGAGTGAAAAATCAATTTTATGGTAAAAAACTACACCCAAATACTTAATTGAGTTATAACGATTTATGTAAGCATCCCCAATTTTATAATTACATTTATAAGCAGTTTTTCTGGAAAAGCTGACTACACTACACTTAGACTCATTAAGAAATAAATTATTCTCATCACACCAAGCCACGAGTGAACCAATATCACGCTGAAGTGCAATACAATCGGTCTCCGACTCAATAATCCTGAATAATTTTAAATCATCCGCAAAGAGGAGCTTATTACAACTTAAATAATGCAGAGCATCATCAATAAATAAGGTAAACAATAAAGGACCAAGATTTGAACCCTGAGGCACTCCCGATTTAGTTATACACTGGTACGACTTGAATCCATTAAAAGTAACATATTGCTTTCTTTCATGAAGATAAGTTTGAATGAGTGCTAAAGCTGATGAATGGAATCCATAATAAAACAGTTTATTCAAAGGTATTATATGGTCCACCTTATCGAACGCTTTAGCAAAATCGGTATATACTACATCTAGTTGACCTTGCCGATCGACACATTCAATAGCGAACTGAGTGAAGATTGTTAAATTAGTTACTGTGGATCTCTTAGTAAGAAGACCATGCTGAAAAGGGGACAGAGATCTATGAACTGCGGAGTAAATTCTATTATGTAATATTATCTCCAGCAATTTGGAGAAATTCGACAATATTGCCATCGCTCTATAGTTTTTGATATCAGTATTATCCCCTGATTTGAAAGTAGGCGTCGCTCTAGAAAGTTTCCAAATATCAGGAAATGTGTTGGTTTCTATAGTCAGATTGTATATTTTTAATATTTATATATATGTATTATTATGAATATATAAAAACTCTAGGGATATATAATCACTATCTTTCTGAGTGACAAATTGGAAAACTGTCAAAGTTAACCGATTGTGTTTATTGAAACTCAACAATTAATCATTAAACAGTTACACCATATGATATCAGTATTCATAAACCAAACTTCATGATTTTGTCCTCCCAACCATGGACATATGTTCCATGCTTTTTGGCTACTCATCAGTACAGTTTGGACTCTCGTATCTGAGGCACGAACGAAAGCATCGCAACTATCCGCTATCCATGGGGGACGGTCTATCGATAGTCCGATGCTCTGTGAAAGCCTCTGGATTATGAGAATTATCCCCAGATACTTTACGTAGCTCATTTTTCTAAGCTTGAGCATAACCGTGACTGAGTTTTATTTGCAGATGTCGCTATAGAGGAAATGAACCAAATTTGAGATACTTTTTTGAAAAGGAAAAATAAAGCACTTGTTGTTTTAAACGAGTAAATATTTTTATGAATTTCCAGCTGGTTTCCTAATTTGAGATACTATTCAAAAAATCCCTTTCCTCTGTAGAAAGCGCAAATGAAAATTTTATTGGTAATCTCTTCACAATCTTCATGTGCCCATCTACTACAATGGCTACATTTTGTCCATTTTTCACCCTTCTTATCTTCGGAAAATCGACCTGTACAAAATAAACATTCAGCATCGCTTTCACCGATTTCGTCTGAAGATGAATCGTCCAACTTAAGGCTTCCGCTACATTCTGAACTTGAACTGAAGGAGGAAGGTATCCGAAGTATTTCCGGCGAATAAAGAATTAGTAATAATAAATTTCTATAATTTTTTTTGTTAGATATTTCCAAGACCATTGAGGAAAATACGGACCTGTACAATCTCGCCTTTTGTATGTTATGTTTTGTCTGGGTATAAATGGACTACGAATGGGGTATATTAAATCTTGTCGTTGCCTGATTTTAGCAAGGAAATAGCCTGATGATTCACGTCGGTGGTCATTGCGATCACCAGACCTGATACCCATGGATATTTTCTTATAATGGTACCTCGTTTGCAAAGTCCATGTCAATACCTTACAAGTATCTGGGAAAGTTAAATCCAGGTTCCTTTTTACGTAGTGCAAAAAAACTGGTGAATTTTCTGTAACCCTTATGGGGAGATTTAAACTCTTTCCGTTTCCAGACGAGCCAAACTACATAAAGCAGCTGAAGCAGCTGAGATGGGGCCACCTGAAGCATATCCAGAGAGAAGTCCGTCGCTTGGAAGATCTCGAAAGATTTATTGATTCGTGTTCCATCACTACCATACCAGAATTGTAAGAAGTAAATTAAATAAAACTCTGTGGAAGTACAATCGAATGGCTTTATTCGATGATTATATTACAAACGCACTAGTAAAAAATATAAATTGGAAAGCTATTTACAACTATGTACAATGGTTAGGGTATAAGATATATAAATAGTAATTATTGTATACAGGGAGTAACGCAAAATAGACTGCTTAATAGTAATGAAGACCATATTTACAAGGAAGGTTGCCAAGCACATGTTACGGTGGTCTGTGGCTATCTAACAGCTTGGCTACCTGCCGTATTAATCAAAATGATCCAAAACGATATCAGAACTGAAAGTAAATGCATTTGTGCTAGACTAAGATTGAAAAGATTGGCCTTCTTCAAAACTGTCTCTTAACGAACTTTAGTGTTTTAGTTTAGTTTTTTTTACTGAGCCTGGGAACATAGGCATACTTCTAAGTACTGCTAGCTTATGTCAGCATCTTCACGGAAAAACTGAAACAAAATATATGTTTGCTTATCGAGACAGGCGGGTTTAGCTAACGGTAAAACTGTGCAATCTTTGAAGCATATCCCAGGTTGTTAATTATGCCCGATACCTGCCTCTGTTTGCTCTTGAATCTGTGATAATAATCTGCTCAATCTCACTCTGTTGACATGTAAGAATATTTCCACGTAATGGCGGTATACGACCGCTTTGTTTGTACTTGCAGCTCTTTCTTAAAAGACAAATTTATCTTGTTTCCATCGCGCTACACCACCGATCAATAGTTAACGTTCAAAGCAGATAAACAAAGCTCCGTGTGGACCGCGAATTAAGTGGAGTGGAACTGATCCTAAAACACATTTCCGCAAACGAATTTATCTTCCGCACATCTCAACTGGTTCTGTTACAACCTCTGACGGAGAGCTGAATATCGACATTTGCAGTGCCGCGCAATTTGAATTAACTGAATCTTCATATTCTGGAAGGTTCTAGAGCCCCATGATAATTAGTAAACTAATAATGGTATGAAAAAACTAATACCCTCGATTGAATGGAGTTTTTCCCAGCTTTACAATAGTGATCTTGGATTTGACCTTGACCATAACTCATTTGAAGGTCAAGTCGATTTTTGTTATTTGAATTATCAATAAATTAATGTAAACTTGTGTTTGACCTTGATGGTCAATTCCGATGTTCCAAAACTGGTCAAGGACATATTTGAACATAAAATGTTGTCTTTACTTTCGTGGACCCATTGAAAAAAAGAGTCGTCCTCCAAATGACCTTCAGGGTCACGGACAAGGTCAGGTCCAAGGTCATCATTAGATATCCAAGGAAAATCATGAAAATAATAAGTCGGTGTTTCCCAAGCTATATCACCATACCTGGGCTTGACCTTGATAATGACCTACCAAGGTCAAAATTTTGGGATGATCTAGACCACATTTCTGTACGTTTCTGGGCCCAGAAAGGTTACATTTAAAAAATCGACTTGACCTTCGAATGACTTTGAAGATCATGGTCAAGGTCGAATCCAATGTCATTATTAGATAGCTGGGGTAAACTCAGTTTTTTCATACCATTATAAGTTCAATAATTGTCGTGGGGTTCCAGAACCTTTCAGACTGTATATTATGTCAGGTAAAACTTTGATTGACTCATATCAAATGTCCCTATAGTATTGATTACGACTGACATTGTGAGGACAGTTTGACTGCCCCCTTGTAATAGTTTTGAACTGTACAATACTAGGTACAATACTGCCACCTGACGATATAGGGTATATAGGTACTAGTAAATAATCAGCTGTTATTTGTTTTTTTGTTTTGACGAGTGCAACTATCACACATTGCTCTAGAACATCAAACAGCTGTCAGAAAACAATTTCTGCATAATCTATACGATTTTCAGTAGTTTGTCTCTATGAGGGTATTTGAAGGTCATTTCCAAGTCATTTTAACTTAACTTTTCTATGCATTATTACAAAAAGATTTGCATTGGTTTTCATGAAAATACTTGATAGTTCGATAATATATAGTTAAGGTTCTGATACTGCATTTGTCTGAGCCTCATATTTGGCCGTAACTACTGTACAAGACATACTCAGCAGAACTTAGGATGTTGAAATCGTATGGATACATGTACGTCTGTTGACTTTTTACAAAGGTTATTATACAGGAGAGTGTATTTACAACAGTAACTTGGTACAAAGTGACCATGAGAAATAAGAAAAATGTTATGCATCGTGACATCATAGAGAGTGTTACAGGTGACCGCAGTGCAAGGTATATTGAATGGGAAACTTCTACTGTTACCAAAGAGTGAAAGTTCGACATGAGACACAAACATGCAAGCAATCCAAAACTAGCATGCTAGTAGTCTGAGATGAAAATGCCTATCAAAATATAACCTTAAGTTCACAGCTAGGCTATTTGAAACAATTTTTATTAAAATCTTGACAACAAAGAGAAACTTGTGACATCAGGCTGAACGCTGATCGAAATCAATGGAATCTCCTCCCAGCGATAGTTTCTGGATAATTACAAGAAACCGAGATACATTATATTTCACACAGATACTATAGTCGCAACTCTAGTCTCGTCCTTAGGGCACGAACATAGTGGAACAGTGCACCTTGCCACTTATCGTGCCATCCGGCTACATCATTATGGCACTTATCAAATTGCACCTTGTTGAACACATGATCCGATCCGGAATGCCGATCCCGGACTGAGCCAGATTTGTCACGTACACTCCCTGTGATGCTGGACTTGTATAGTATTCGTCGTGAAATGCTGCATTTGAGATGCGGCAAGTTTTTAAATAATAATTGTTCCATGACTGCGATATAAGCAAGACAGTGTGCTTTGAATAACAATATTGATATTTTTTGTTGACAAGGCAAACCAGTGAATACAAAGCCACCAGACCCACTGCAGCACCAGATGCAATAAAAATATATAAATCTTGCCAAGAAAAAGGTTTCTTGTACGTACAAGCAAATTGAAGACTCCATCTCTTATAAGCGTAACTAATATATAGCGACACCGACTCACTGATATTTTTCAATCATTCTATGGTACCCCATTACCTAAGTAGCGCATTTACGCCTTTTTCCTTTTTGGAATCTTTTGTATGTAACTTCCTATCGTAGAAGCTTCAGTTGTAGTAGTAGTTGTAGTACCATCGTCGTCAGGTTCCTCCTCTACCCTGGGTGGTGGGTTGAACCTCTGGTTCCTCTTGTTCCGACCTGGTTCGTTCAGCCTGACAGTAGGCGTATGTACACTAGTCTCACCTCCAATAAAAGGAATGTACCTGGGACCTTCCCTCGGTCTAGGGTTGAACATGTTCGTGATGAACCTTGGTGTGAACCTACTGACTAGAGGAAGTACCGTATTCCGAGTGAACCTCTCGGCTTGTTGGAACATTCTACCTAGGTTTTCGGGAAGGATCTGAACTTGGGTTATGATAGCTTCCAGGGGGTCCTGGGGTGGTCGTAGGGGCTGGACCTGGAATTATTTACAAGAAACCGGAGTGAGGCACTTTTAGTTAGAAGTGAGTTCAGTTACTAGAGTTGGATGAGTAAGAATTGTTAGATGAGTAAGAATTCTGAAATGTTGTGTTAGACGTTAGCTTAAGCGATGTGATATAGTTTCTGCACCAACTGATAATTATTTCATGCAATATTCGATATCGAACCAGAATCAAAATTGGAAAGCGATACCAACAGTAGGGCGACGGGATGAGTCCTATGAATGAATATTACATGACTAAGAATGGCTTTGCATCAATTCTTCCAATTGAGATATCTGGTATAACAGAGCATTCCAATAAGGTAGGGTCGATATCGCTATAAAATGTGTGTGTGGTATTAAAGAAATTATTCATCAATTCTATACATTTACGTATGCCATTATACAGGGTGCTCAAAAAATAGACAGAGATATTTTAGAAGGTGACCTTGTTAAAAAATACGAAAAAAAGTTTCTATAAACATGGGTACTAAATTTAAAAACAATGTATCAATATCTTAAAACATATTTACTCGATGCTGTTGAAATTTGGCAATATTATTTGTTGTATTAAGAGGTTTATTTCGCCCTAGATAGATTCAAATTTATAGGTACAGTGGCATCTCGGGTGGCAGCTGAGCGAATATTATTAGCACAAAATGTAACTTTAATATTAGTTGCTTAAAAATACAACCTTGTTGCCTGCTGTATTTTCTTCGTATCTCACTCCGTTTTCGAGAAAAAAATAGAAGCGGTTTTATTGCACCTCACTGGACAAAATTGGTTTATTAATTTATGCTAAAGAATCACAAATGCCCTGGAAAGCAAAATATCAAAAAAAATTCTATAAAAGATTGTTATGGCAAATTTTTCAAATATTGGAAGTGTCCACCATCCATTTCCGTGGCACCTTCTCACTTGACGAATCGTTGAACGATGAACTCGAGCTAAAATTCGAGGGCTATTTCTTATTTCTTCGCAAGTATTTATAATTTTATTTTTTAAATCTCCAATTGTTTCTATGGGAGTAGCGTAAGCCATCGTCTTGAGGTGCCCAATAAATAAAAATCTATTGGACTTAAGTCAGGAGAGCGAAGTGGCCAGTACATTGCATAAAGAATGCAACCAAATTTTCACCAGAGTTTTCAGAAGAGTTCTAACAAGTATACTAAAATGAGGAGCAGCTATTTGGTTACGTACACTTAGAGGAACTTCTTCTAGCAGTGCAAGCAATTTTTGTTGAAGGAACTCTAAGTAAGATTCGCTGTTTTGTCTTAGGAGTAAAGATGAAGGACCAATAAAATTGTCACCAACAATACCCATCCGTACATTTAAAAAAAACTGTTCTTGTTGGCGACATTGTACGTAAGCATAAGGATGTTCGTCACTTCATACATGAATGTTATGGTAATTAGCAGTACCTCCCCGCCAAAATCCTGCTTCGTCCGTAAAAGGTATGGTTTTATTGAAATTCATGTTATTATTAACCTTTTGGTGTTATCAATGGCAAAACTGTAAACGCCGTAGAAAATCTCTTGGTGATAATGCTCGCACACGTTGGACACGATAAGGGTACAAAAGTTGCTCGGAGATAACCTGCCACACAGTGCTGTTGGAGCTATTACCCCCTAATCTAGTTGCTATAATCCTGCTACTGATACCAGGATTTTGTTCCATGGCACGTAAAGCTTCCTCGTCAAACTCAGGCGTTTTTACGGACCTCGGTCGTCCTCTACCATTGGTGGGAATGGAAAAACTTCCTAAAGAACATTATTTTCAAAAACATCAGAAAAAAGAAATTTCAAAGGTTTTACTATCTAAAAGTTGTCGTTGGGAAATGCTTATGCAGCGAGGCACATAACCGTTACTACATACATACATTACATGCATGTCTGCCACTTCCTCAAAAGTGTAATTATCTCCATCACAAAAAACTAGACAAAAACTTTTAAGTGAAATTTTGCAAAAATAATTGCGTGAATAATTCTTTTGTAGAGGAACTGACGCACAAATGCCAAACCTCCACGCATAGATGAATTTTGTTTTCCAAGGCACTTGTGATTGTTTAGCAAATATCAATTTTGTCAAGTGACGTGCAAATAAAACGGCTTGTATCTTTTTTCTCGAAAGCGAAGTGAGATACGAAAAGAATACAAGAGACAAAGAAGTTGTATTTTTAGAAGCTTATTTAAGCAACAACATTACAAAAGCGTACATTTTTTGCCGATAATATTTGCTACGGTGCCCCCGAAACACCACTGGACATGATAATTTTAATCTATTCAGGGCCAAATTGACCTATTGATATAACAAATAATATTGACAGATCTTAACAAAATCCAGTAAACATTTTTTAAGACATTAATAAATATATTTTTAAGTTTATCACCCTGTATCTTGAAAACTCAACTCAACTCCCGGACCCATGTTTCTAAGAACCTATTTCCATATTTTTTATCAAGGAATCACCCTTTAAAATATCTCCCTCTATTTTCGAACACTCTGTATATGGAATATGACGTTCAGATATTTGCCATGACTACGCACAGGATCCAAAAAAATTTAATGACTGCCGCATAGATTTGGATCACATTGTTCAGAGTTACGTTGACTTGGACATGCATTGCGGCAAAGGTCACAACTTTATGTATCAATGATTTTACACAAAGTTACTGTTTGGCGTGAGTTTAAGGGCAGTGATGTCATTATCGCGCTCTGGCTTGAAAACAATGCTGGTGATGTCCTTACTGTCAATGATGAGCAATAATAAACAACAACCAAATGCAATATGGAAGTGGACAAAGCGGCAGCGATCATGACCGAGTTTTATACCGAGTATGAAAAAATAAAAGGCACGTATATACCTCATATACCTCCTATTGATTGGTTATTGAAGGGGAAGGAGTGGCTTCCGGCAATACCAGCTGCAAAACAGCTACAAGCAGCTGAAGGAGTGTGTGTTGTTTCTCCGCAATGCCTTTCCAAGTTGAAGATTAAAATCCCATTCGAAAATGGACGGGGTAGCACCCAAACAACTAGGCGTATGGTACTATATGAATGGATACTACCCCACAAACTGGTATTCGGCACCTGATATCCCAGAATCTGGAGCTTGAACAAGTGGCGTTCACACCATAATGTCAGGAGAAGATTGACTGATACGAAACACCTAACTCTATAAAGGAAGGTTCAATGAGTGGCCTTGAAGAAGGTATGTTCGATAGAAGTAATGGAGAAAGCCACAGAGTTTTTTTTTCAACACGATACTGAATCACTGAGAAAGAAAGATATATCACTTGTGAAATTATACAATCAAAAAGATATAAACTTTACCGAAAGAAAACCATTGAAAAGGGTTTGGTCTATGAATGGGGAATAAAGAGAAATTCAAATTACTACTAAGTGATCAAAATAGTAAAAAACATGGTTACGTGATTTTGGCCTGTGACACTATACTATTAAATTTGAATACTTCACACGCATATCCCCATAATCCACATTACTCAGGTCACTGCTCAAACTCAGTCCGATCTATGCAATATTTCATTAAAAAAATTTGGTTGATCCTTCAAAGAGAGCTTCCAAAGTTAACTCATACTTATTGGAAAACACGGTAGCATCCTATAGACTGCATAAGTGGTCTTATTTAGCAATTTATGTTCAGCAACCATCAAGTCTCATGATCTTTTATTAAACATATTTACAATATTATGGACAAAGGAAATTAGAAAAATATAAATAGGTTGTATTGACCAAAGTAAAAAAATACAATGTAATGACAGATATTTACAAAATGAAAACAGTACTTTACTTTGAGTGAGTAACCAATGGTATATACTTGATTTTCCTGATGCTATCATCATCAAAAACAGGTAAGTCGATGAAAATGGCTTTGTGATTATTAGTTACTGCAGTGGTGTGATCTGTGACTGGTATGAATCTTTGTATTTTTGTACTACTAACGTTATTATCATCTCTAGCTCTTCGGCTGTACTCTTTCGTAGCTGGTGCCTTTTTGGTTGAAGTCGTTGTAGGAGCAGGGGTAGTCGTAGGAGTCGACTCAGGAATGCTGGTTGTAGTCATCATGATCTTCTTAGTAGACGCCATCAGCATAGCCTTCAACTGTGCTTCTTCTTCCTCGGATTTCTTTGTGAGCCTCTGTATATGGGTGTGTGGAGTTGTTGGATCGGTAACTGGTTTAAATTCTTTTTCTACGATTACATGTCTGGACTCGCTAACCTCAAACATGGGTTTGTCCGTTTCCTCAACGCTCTTAGATTTAGGCTTCGAACTTTTCCTCGTCGTGGTCTCATCGTAATGCAGGGGCACGTACTTAGGGGTGGTCTCCCTGGGAGTGATCATATCAGCGATGAATCTAGGGGTATAAGTGCTAACTAAGGGCAAAATGTTATCTCTGGCGTACTTTTCTGCCTGCTGGAACATTCTGGCAAGTCTTTGAGGTAGAAATTGGACGGTGGTCGCAAGTGACTCTAGAGGATCTTGGCTAGGTCGGTCGAAACCGGGCATCACCTTTGACTCGTCTTGCCTCTTTCTCTTTCCCTCATGTTTTGGATTCGTCGGTACTTGTTTCGGTACCCAGTCATTGTCGAACGCAATTTTGACAGAACTTTTCGCCTCTGTCTTCAACTCAATAACTGGGGCTTTTGTAGTTGTGGTGGTGGTAGTAGTTGTAGTCGTAGTGCTAACTATGGCTGTTGCTTTGATGCTTTTGGCGGTAGTCGGACCTACAACAGAGTAGATATGTTGTGTTATTAATAAAAAAAATGTATTTTCATGTACAGAATGATTCCTAATGAATCATTTCAACGATGATATTGAATAATTCTTATCTAATCTTATGATCGTTCACACAAATATCTCCCTATGTTCAACAGAGTAAGTACATCATGTATAGCCTAAATACAGGGTGGCGCATCGAAAACGAAACAGACGCATTTACTGGCAGCTCAGTTTTTTTTTGAAAAACGCTCAGACCCGTCGGTTTTGTTTTCGAGGGGGACACAAGGTTGGCAAAAAATCACGTTAGCATGTGCAGCGGGGGCGGGGGCGACACCACCCCCAAAATCTTAAATGGAAAGGGGGAAAATCTGGTAAGTTTGTTATGATTTGAGATTGACATGACAACTTGTACTTGTCCTTTCTAATGTCGGTTGTACGTTATATTATATTTGGAATTGTGTTTGGAATATTGGACTTTGCAAATTTTTTTCACTCTGCTTATCGACAAGACTAATCATACGTCCGACCGGGTTGCCTACAAAGGTATACAAAGCACCCTGCTAAGTTCATAGCACATTGTTACATTATAGACCTAACCACGAACGAAGAATTCTACGAGGATGACCTGATTTCGCTGGAATTGTTGGAGTTAGGTATACCGAGACGAATTTTCTAGTGACAAGAGTATTTCCAGAAAATGAATAGCTTTACGGGTGCCAATAAACGTGATGAAAAATGCAAATATTGCAATCTCTTTGTTCTCAATAATGCTTTTATATTTCTGAATAACAAACAGCAGAGTCGTTTTCTCTTCATTAGTGAGATTTGTAGCACGAGATATCTTCATGATAATAAAAATAACAGCACAAAAAACACTCTCGAAGCATTGAACCGCTCAGTTAGACCTTGTTGAAAATTATAATAGAGGTAACCGTATTCCATATCCTTTCAAAGTACTGATTCCCAATTTTCACATCGTTGCCACAAAAACAGATTGAGATATGAGATATAGACACACATTCCGATAATTAAACTCCGACATGTCATTTTCATCCCTTTAATCTGGTGTTATTTCTTGACGCTTTCATTACGACCAGCCTATATAATAACATCAAAGCAATAAACATTTAGGAACTCTTATTTCAATGGTAAAACTTCGCGTTGAGCAAATTATACCTGGTGTCTGAAGAGTCGCGATAATTCGTGAACTAATACCGGTAGAAAATGACTAAACCCGCGCATGATAGGATTTTTTTTCAGCTATCCAATGATGACTTTGAAGTCGACCTTGACTATGACCTTCAAGGTGATTTTATGATCAACTAATTTTTTTAATAAAACCTCTACCTTTGACCACGTGGATGAAAAGAGTGAACAATACTACGTTAAAATATGGTCATGACCTATCTTAAATTTTGACCTTAGGAGGCCATGATCAAGGTCAAACCCAGGTACGGTGGTAGTCAGTTGTCGTATAGAGGAACAATCGAAACATTATTTTCATGATTTTCCCCCAGATATGCAATGCTGACATTGGACCGTACCTTGGCCATGGCCGTTAAGGTTATTTGAAGGTCAAATCTTTTTTACTGGAACCATATACTGTTGATCACGGAAATGGATACAAGGCAACATTTTATGTCAAAATATGTCCTTGAACATTTTTATAGTTTGACCTTGTACTTGACCTTCAAGGTGATTTTATGATCAACTATTTTTTTTAATAAAACCTCTACCTTTGACCACGTGGATGAAAAGAGTGAACAATACTACGTTAAAATATGGTCATGACCTATCTTAAATTTTGACCTTAGGAGGCCATGATCAAGGTCAAACCCAGGTACGGTGGTAGTCAGTTGTCGTATAGAGGAACAATCGAAACATTATTTTCATGATTTTCCCCCAGATATGCAATGCTGACATTGGACCGTACCTTGGCCATGGCCGTTAAGGTTATTTGAAGGTCAAATCTTTTTTACTGGAACCATATACTGTTGATCACGGAAATGGATACAAGGCAACATTTTATGTCAAAATATGTCCTTGAACATTTTTATAGTTTGACCTTGTACTTGACGATCAAAGTCAAACACAAGTTTACCTTAATTTCTTGTTTATTCAGGAAACTGACTTCTTCCAAGATCATTCCCTGCATACGAAAATCGACTTGACCTTCACATGACCTTGGAGGTCATCATTGTTAAGATCAGAAACGAGGTCACCATTGGATATCCGGAGGATGTCATGAAAATAGTGTCACGGCGGTTTCCCTATACCACTAGTGGTTTTCTGTTTATATCAACGTAACTGGGCTTGACCTTGACCATAACCTCCTAAGGTCAAACTTCAAAACGGAATATATGACGGTTGGTAATGACAATCAGCATGACATAGGTGCTGGTAATTTTACTATCAAACACACGTTTACCTTGATTTCTCTATATTGCAAAAAACTGTGTAATCCTAAGGTAAACTGACTTTACTGTTGTTTCAGGATCGTACTCTGGCTACAAAAATCGACTTGACCTTCACAGAACCATCAAGGTCATCTTTACTTAGGTCAGATCCAAAGTCACCATTGGATATCTCGGGAAAAATCATGAAAATATTGTCACGGTAGTTTCCCTATACGACCACTGGTTTTCACGTGATGTCACCGTGACTGGGTTTGACTTTGACCATAACCTCCTAGGGTTAAAATTCAAGAAATGTCAAAACGATATTTGAACGTAAACTTTTTCATTTACGGAATTCAAAAATCGACTTCTCCTTCAAATGGCCTTGGAGGTGACTGTCAAAGTCAAATCCAAGGTCACCAGTGGATAGCTGGGGAAGACACCTATCAATCGCAGGACTTAGCTTTTTCATACCGTTATTAGTTTACATTTTTTTTTAGATTACTACATGCTGGAGTTTGACGAATATTGCAATTGAGGTTTGAAAATCAACACCAAAAAGACGAAATATGTATACTAAGTGACATATAAATCCGAACACGCAGTTTAAATGGTTTTATTTTAATAAAAGTTGGTGAATGTATTTATCTTACTGTAAATAACAAGTGAAAAATTTTTCAGTCTTATCAGTTGGACATTCCGCTTTTTATATTGCTTTTTTTTAATTCACTAACGCTCTAAAAATGAATATTTCAGCCGCAGTAAAGAATCAACGTTGGCGGATGTTGTTACATCCTTTACGATCGGTTACGATGCCTAGAGTACGGAGACCTGTACGATTTCGTCAACTTAGTGAGTTTGATAGTTGCCGTATAGTGGGACTTCGGGAAGCTGGACTTTCTTTTCGGGCAATTGCAGTTAGAGTGCAAAGAAGTGTAGACACTGTGGTTAGGTGTTGTCAGGCATGGCTTCGAGAAGGCCGTACGCAAAGATCAAGGGGCACTGGAAACCGCCGTAGAACAACAGACCGTGAAGATCGCCGCCTAAGATTATTGGCCTTGAGGGAGCGTTTCTCCACTACCAGGTCCATTGCAAATGAATGGTTTGCAGAACACGGAAGACCTATTGGCATGCGAAGTGTTTACCGACGAATGAGAAGTTTTGGCTTGTTTTCATACCGGCCACACTGGGTCCTCCCTTTAACTCGAGAACACCGACGTAATCGCCTTGAGTGGTGCAGACAACGGTCACTCTGGGATCAGGAATGGAACAGTATTGTCTTTAGTGACGAGTCTCGATTTTGTTTAGGCATGCACGATGGTCGTGCCAGGGTTAGAAGGCGACGTGGTGAAAGGAGAAATCCACAGTTTTTTGTTGAAAGACATGTTCATCACACTTTTGGAGTTATGGTTTGGGGTGCTATAGCTTATGGTTCCAGGTCGCCTTTAATCTCCATCAGAGGTAACATAGCGTTATATCCACGAAGTTCTAGAACCCCATCTTTTACCCTATCTTGACACCCTGGCAGATCCAACTTTCCAACAAGATAATGCCCGACCACATGTTGCAAGAGTCACAATAGACTTCTTTCAACATAATGATGTCACATTGTTACCATGGCCACCAAGATCTCCCGACTTATCCCCAGTTGAGCACGTGTGGGATATGATGGGTAGGAGATTGCTCCATTTGCAACGTCCTCCTCAGACTCTAGAAGCACTTCGAGAAGAGTTGGTGGTTGTCTGGAATGAGATACCACAGGAGGACATTGACCACCTGATCAGAAGCATGCCTAGGCGCGTTGGAGAATGCGTAGCACATCAGGGTACATCCACACATTATTAAAGGTCAAAGGGCTTTAAAGCAGTGCAATCATTTTGAAATTTTCATCATTTACTTATTATGCTTCATTAAGTAGTTATACGAAATTTTATTAAAATAAAACCATTTAAACTGGGTGTTCGGATTTATATGTCACTTAGCATATATGATAGTTACTAATGACTGTAGCTACATGCTGAAGAAGCTCTTTGACGAATATAGAAATTGGAATTTGAAAATCCACACCAAAAAGACGAAATATATGGTAGTTACTACTGACGATCAGCAACACTCAGATGATGGGAATTTTACGATCAATCACACTTCCTCTTTATATAATAAATATCTAGCTGTAACTCTATCAGCAAATGGGAAGAGTTCAGATGACAGAATCAATAAAATAGGGTAAGACAAACGAGTTATTAGGCATTTAAACCCGATTCTGTGGGGTAAGAAAGTTAGTAACAAATTGAAGAGATCTGTATATAAAACGATTGTAGAGAGCATTAGTACGTATGGAGCTGATGTATGGGAAATCAAAGATAAAGACAAAAACCGGTAATGTTTTTCCTTTGAAATGGATTACTGGAGAAGTGGCGCGGGGATTTTAAGATTGGATCATATTAGGAACTAGGAGATAAGAAGGAAAATGGAAGTAGAAGGAAATATTATGGACACATTATTCGATTGTACCACTTTAGACTATGCATACTGGTATGCACATATACAGTTCAAATTATTTGGGAAACGTTATGATCTTTGTACTTTTTACTGTTCACCAAACAGTGATGCGGATACATTTTTAACGTTTTTTGAAGAAAAATGCGAAGAAATGTGGAATTTTAGAAACAATATAATACTTTTAGGTGATTTTAAGCCAAATTATGGGTTCAAGCAAAAAATTTAAGAGAGTACCAGAATAACATCATTATCAGAGACTTTGTTAGATCTTGTTATTGTAAATTTCGAATGTGCAGAGATTAAAGCTGTACATACACTTAAAGTTAGCGATTACAGTTGGACAATGCTGCCCTTGGTAGGACATTTTTCTGATACAAAAATTAAGAAAATCGTAAATACTATTTTAAGTACGAAAAACTTGAACGAGAACTTGCTGGCTGCTATTGGAATTTTGGTGAGAATATGGAAAAAATAGATGACAACATAATAGGACATATAAAAACTTGTTTAGATAATGCAACTGATAAAAAAGTGATTTGCTCGACAAAAAATACACCCTGGTATAACAAGAATATTAAGGCAGCTCAAAATTTGAGAGACAAACAATACAATAAATGTATATTCACAAAATCAAATGATGATTGGGAGGTATATAAAACTTTTAGGAATAAATGTGTATATGTCATTAGAAAATAAAAAAGGAAATTCTACGATAAACAAATCGATAATAACAAGTGCGACAGTGTAAAGATGTGGAAGACTTTAAAAAGACTGATCAATTCGAAGCCGCATGATTGTGTAAATCAAGTTCAATTCGAAAACAGTACGGAATCAAATTCTTTGGTGATTGCAAACAAATTAAATGAATATTTTGTGGAAAGTACTGTTGATATTGTGGGTACTGCCAATGCTGCATCTGACTATATGAAAATCAGTTTCCAGGGAGAAATGTTGCATACACTTTCAAAATTTCACAACGTATCATTGAATTATCTAAGAAAAAAAGTAAACAGTTTAAAATCAAATAACAACTGTGCCGAAATCACTACTAAAAACGTGCTGAAAAACTGTTTCGTAATCTTGGGATATCCTGCATTAAATTGGATCAATTGTTCACTGAGAAGCAGTTCTTTTCCTGAAAATTTGAAATGCTCTACAATAACACCAGTTCCCAAAATAAAAAATTCTAAAAGATGCAGCGATATGAGACCAGTAAACGTGTTACCAGACATTGAAAAATTAGTTCATAGTGCATGACCAATTAATGCAGTTTATAGAAGAAAACAAAATTTTAGTGGAGGCGCAAGCAGGCTTTCGAAAAAAAGGGGTGCTCTAAGGGCAGTGAGCAATTTATCATTTCGTAGCTTTTCAAAATCAATCAGCATCTGTAAAATCAAAAAGTTCCTCTACGACTTAAAGACAAGAGGTCAGATAATTCATTTTGTATGGGTAAAGGGTCACGCTGGGATAACCGGAAACATGGCTGTGGATATCTTAGCAAAGCAGGCAACCAATCTAACAAATTTTACCAATAACAAACTCGAATACTATGATGTAGTCAACGCTGGAAAGAAGGAAATAAGAAAAAAATGGGAAGTGCACTGGAATCATTTTGCTGAATTATCTAATAACCATTATTCATTCATCCATCCTACATTGCCTAAAAAAATACCACATATTTTTGAGTATAATGTAAATAGACATTATTCAGTCACCATCACTCGTTTGAAGCTAAACCATGGACGATTTCCTGCTCATCTCAATAGAATAGGCATTCTGGATACTTGTGTATGCGATTGCGATAGTGCATCAATTGCAGATCTAAATCATATTATTTTTGCTTGCGGAAAATACAATCAAGAACGCATAGTTCTTATTGATATACTGAAATCCAAATATCAACTCCCCACCAATATAAGCTCCCTTTTAAGCATAGGTGACAAGCAAATCCTAGATTGCTTGGTAAACTTCTTCCAAAGAATCAAAATGAACGTTTAGCTCACAATTAAACTTTAGATCAATAGTAACACACATCTGTGGCAAATGGATAACTTCCAATGCCAAACCGGGGAAAAAAAAAAGTGCATGAGAATAATACTAAATAAAGATAAATATACTCCACTTAGGCAAATGCTTAGCAAATTAAAATGGCTCAATGTATAAATTTTTATCAAATATCTTGTAATGATATTCATTTATAAAGTAAAAAATAATATATTTCCATCAAGTCTAACTAATTTAACATCATCAAATGTCGACCATCATTTACATAATACCAGAAATAAAGATGACTTCGATTTAATGACCAAAAAGTATAACATATGCTACAAATCTGTATTCCATCAAGGGATGATTGAATATAATAAATTATACTCGGAGATAAAAGACCAGAAAACTTTGACAAAATTTGAAGTAAAATTGAGAAATCACTTGTTAAATCTACAATTATCGGTTGCCCAGCATTTACATCATACACCATATGGCTTGAATTTACTAGTTCTAAGTTGTTTACAATTATTCTGTATTATGTAGCCAAATGTGCTAAATAAATCTTTCTACTACTACTACTACTACACTATCGAGCTCAAGAGGCTTATATGGTATGGTCACTTAGAACGTATGAACAACGAAAGAAGGCCGGAAAATGTATGGAATTGGATCCCTGCCCAAAAGAGGAAATGCGGCCTACCATCCAGGAGTTGGAAAACTGATGCCAAAGAACCCACGAGGACAAGAAATATTCGTTGAACTAATTGCTTAGACAGTTTCAACAGGTAGTTTTTGCCTGTTCGGTACTGTGAAATACAGTCAGATAAATAAATTTATACGATACTGACTAGCTATGAATGAAGGTACTGTTGGAAACAACCTCTCATGTTCAAAACTTTTTTAAATAGTACGACAAAAAAATGGGGAAGAAAGGCGAAAGGCAGATCTACAACATACCAAAAAATGACCCTAGTAAAAGTTTCACTGCTTTTGGGATATTAATTTTTTTGGTCTTTTTCGAAAAATTTCCTCGTTTGATCTACCGTTTGTTCCTGATTAAGCAGGTAATTTATCGCAGTACTTTGCAGTAGCAGTCTAGTAAACAAAAATTACGAAGAAGAAATTAGTTTGTCAGGTTTACCTACTATATTCCAAATGGCAGACCAACTATCTGAGAATATTTTGCAAAAAAAAACAAACATATCCTGTTATTTCTAGGCACAGCAACAAATGATAGATTAAAAGAGGACATTTTTCGAAAAAGACAAAAAAAATAATAACTCAAAACCAGAGAAACTTTTACTATCGTCCCTATTTTTTTGTGGTACTATTTACCGGTATAATAAACGTACCTAATATAGGTTCTGTAATCTCCACCTTCTCCCTATCAGGATCATGCGACCTGGCATTCTTACTCGAATGCGGCTTCAAAATCGGCTCAACAATCTCCTTTACCAGCCCATCCTCATTACTAGCGATCGCATTATCAACCTTGATGATCCTAGTGTTGAACGCCCTGCTGGACTCAGACGCTTCGGTATCTAAAATATCATTCTCCTTGTCGTTGCTCCAAGGGATGTTAAAAATGCCCATGGTGTCCCGAAAAAGATTCGGTTTGTCCGATTTGTTATCGTTGTCTTCCAATCCAACCCGAACCACTTGAGTGGGCGTGAAGTCTGGTCGCTTGTCGGTGTCGTTGGGCTTGTCATCGATTCTGTCATCTGCGATATTCTCGAACTGGTCCTTCGGGAGGTTGCATTCGCCCGGGTATAGCGGGAGTAGAACCGGCACTCCGGAATGTAGAATTAGATTCTTTTTGCATACCGATGACCTGGAAAGATGAATGGTTAGTATACGGGTGATTTGTAATGTCACGTATTCCTATTTAGGGGTGATAGATTATGTCAAAGGCAACCGATTTTGTCCTATCATGTCCTATCCAGAAGTTTTTGAGTTATTTGAATTTTATTTTTTTATTCCGATTTCAGATGGTTAAATTTGAAATACAAAAACACTACATGTTTGATTTTGAGTCTTTTGTTATCGTCGCATAGCGGATATTCCAGTAGTTTATAATAAGTAATAAAATCTTGAAAACTCACAAAAGTTTCAAAATTCCGCTTTTGAAATGTATGATTTTCTTATTTTTTACTAACTTATTCGATAAAAAATGCAATTTTTTGTAAAAAATCGCCTAGTAGTGAAATATGCAAATTATGTAAATGATATCTCCATCTAACAAGCTTTCATTTGAGGTATAAAAGTTACAACTAACTCAAGTACAAAGACATAAAATTAAAAAAAGACGAGTAAAGTTGTACGAACGATAGTTACGTAGGACAAATAAAAGGCTTATATTTTAATTACAGTTTTATTTAATTACGTTTCCTTTAGTATTTTACAGATTCCGCTCAAATTGTAATCCCCTGTTACGTAATTCACTTACGGGCGAAACATCGTACACCAGGCTTTTCATATGTCCCTACACATAGTAATCCATCGGTGTGAGATCTGGGCTTCTTGCTGGCCAGGCAATGGGCCCGCCTCTTCCAATCCATTGATTTGGAAATTTAGAGTCTAAATACGCCCGTACTAATCTACTGTGGAACACAAGGTTAGCAAGGCTCGCAATTCGATGTGGGCTTTTAGACGTGTTGTCGGTGTAAGGTGGGGGCTTAAACCCAAAGTGGTATACTGGCTCTACACGACGATAGTACGTCCATCTCTCTTGTACGGCTCCCTGGTCTGGTGGCCTTGCATTAGAACTGAGTCAATTAAGGCCAAACTCAATAAAATTCAGCGTTTGGCCTGTATTAGCATTACAAGCGCAGTGCGAACAACGCCATTGAGTGCAATGGAAGCTCTGTTGGATCTCCCACCGTTGGATCTGGTGATCCGCGGTGAAGCGAGAGTAGTCGCTCATCGACTGTGGAGTCAGGGCAGCTGGGCTTTCTTGAATCCGGTCAAGGGGCATACTGCCATCTTAGTCGAATTAGAAAGGGAGGACCCCGTCCTTCTAAGCAGGGGTGATCGTATTACCCCTAAATATCGCTTCAACCGCAAGTTTATTGTGGAGTACCCAACGAGGGAGGAGTGGGACGCCGGTAGCCGAGGACTCTCCGAAGTGAGCGGGCAGGTCTGGTACACGGACGGCTCGGTCACCGAAGAGGGCTCAGGTGCTGGGGTCTCTGGAACCTCTGCCTCTCGGTGAGTACACCACCATTTTCCAGGCGGAAATCTTTGCGATTCTGGCTTGTGTATCTCACATTCTGGAGGAGGGTGGGCCTAGCAGAAGAATAACAATCTTATCCGACAGCCAGGCTGCAATGAAAGCACTAAGTGCATGTAAGATTACTTCGAGTCTTGTATTGCAATGCAGGGAGGCTCTGGATTGCCTCGCAGCGAGGCATCCGGTATCGTTAATATGGGTACCGGGGCACGCTGGGATAAGGGGCAATGAGACGGCGGACACTCTGGCGAAAACAGGATCAGCCAGCAAGCTCGTTGGTCCTGAGCCAGCTCTAGGAGTAACCGCGCATAAAGCTAGGAGGAAAATGGAGACGTGGGTTGCAAGACAACACTCTCAGAAATGGAGAAGTATCTCTAGACATCTCCGCCAGGCACAAGAGCTCATTGAAGAGCCCAGTGCTAAGGATGGACGCTTCTGCCTATCTCTGGGTAGAGCCAACCTAAGGTTGCTGGTGGGACTGTTGTCTGGCCATAACACGTTAAGGCGGCACCTGCACGTGATGGGGGTGGCTGAGGATCCCTTGTGCGAACGCTGCGGGGTAGAGGAAGAGACCTCGGCGCACGTTTTGTGTCGCTGTGAAGCTCTGAGCTACTATAGACAGACTATACTGGGGTCCATTACTTTGGACCCTCAGGAAGTAAAAGAGCTTGGACTCAAGGCGATTCTCAACTTCGCTAAAAGGGCGAGGCTTGTGATTTAAGTATTGTAGAGTTGCATAAGGGCCCGCTTAAGCGGCCTATGCACTGGCTCCTTATGGTGGGCGGGATGCCTCTAAAATTCAAGATTCATTCATTCTCAATCTACTGTAGTGTGCGGGACAGCCGTGGTGCTGGAACCGCATATTTTGTCTCGTCGCCAATGGGACGTTTTCCATTAATGGAAACAAGTGATTTTTCAAGAACTCTTCATACACTTCTCCATTTCAATTGGCGGGCAGAAAATGAGGTCCATTTAAATATCCATCAATGATGCCCATCCACACATTGACTGAAAACCGGTTCTGAGACCCCGTCGGTCTTATTTTTCGGGGGCTTAAAGCTTCTTTATCAGCCCAGTAATGAGCAGTATGGTTAGTGATCGCGTCCTTATCAAACTTCGATTCATCGGTCCACAGAATTTTCTTAAAATAGTCTGGATCTTCTGTATCTGCATGTAACATGTACCTGCAGAAATCTAATCGTCTTGCAGGATCACCCTCCTCAATCACTTGCACAGGCGTGTAGTGACAAGGGTATAATCTTGCAGTATGCACAGTAAACACTTTGTATTGTGATATACCCAACTCAGCAGGCCACAATGCGCGTAGACGTAGTAGGGTCTTCCCGAAACACACGAAGGATTTCCTCTTCATCTTCAGGAGGATAGACTCGGGGTCGACCAGCATCACTATGTTGCCTTTGAACACGTCCGGTTTGGCGGATGCGCCGATACACAGAGTTAAGTACAGTAACATGGGTGTTCGGCGATTCGGGAAACGTTGCCGATATTCACGGCGGGCAGCTGCAGAATCGCCGTTACAAAGTCCATAACAGAACATTATCATTATGTCTGCGTATTCTTCATTTGTAAAAGTTTGCCCGTGCTCGCTATGGCGAGGTCCTGGCGGATCTTCTGCGTCTGTCATGATGATAAAGAAACCACTCGAAATAAACTGGAAAACTCGAAAATAATAATCGTACGCAGTAGTTGATACCAACTAAACCTAATTCTTACTCGGCGTGCGGCGATGGCGTAACTACAATGATGAATAATAACAGCTCTCTCTCTCTCTCTCTCTCACTCCTCCACTAAGGCAGCTCTTCTCGCTCGCTTCCTCGTCGAGCCGATGCCATAAAACAAGCATGGCATGCGAGTCCTTTGAGGACAGTAACGACTTGTTCAAACAGGTGATACAGATTCCTTAAAAATCCAGCCTCTGTGGGTGTCATTGTTGTTTCTCTGCATGTACTTCAGATAATTGAACGCTTAATACCTCAAATGAAAGCTTGTTATATAGAGATATTATTAACATAATTTTCACATCTCATTACTAGGAGATTTTTTACATAAAATTGCATTTTTTATCGAATAAGTTAGTAAAAAAAAGAAAATGATACATTTAAAAAGCGTAATTTTAAAAAGTTTGTAGCTTTTCAACATTTTATTACTTATTATGAACTATTGGAATGTCTGCTATGTGACGATAACAAAAAACTCAAAATCATGCATGCAGTTTTTTTGTATTTCAATTTTAACTATCTGAAATCGGAATAAAAAATAAAAAACTTGAAATTCAAATAACTCAAAAATGGTTAACTTTTGGATAAGACATGATAAGACGAAATCGGTTGCTTCTGACCTAATCTATCACCCCTTAACAGGAATACGTGACATTACAAGTCAGCCTGTATAGCAGTTTGAGGTCTGACAGCTGAAATGCTAATTTTGTAGCTAAATCTATGTTTAGTACTTTAATTTGAGCTATAATATTCATATACAGGGTGTAAAATTAGTAGAGGATCAACAGAAGTCAGGTGATAGAGGGCCTGGTTCAACTATACTTTAGCGCATATCGCAAATATTTCATTACTTACTTTAAAATGAAAGATTAGGATGTAACTTGCACGAAAATATCATTTTTTCTTTAAGGAACCCCCTGCTTGCTATTTTAAAGAACTTCAATGTTGCATTTTGGGTGCTAATACTGTGGTATAGAATACTGCTTTATAAGCTGTTTTCTTCTTTTTTTATACAAAAGGTTGTTAAAAATTGTATGATTATAACATACACTGCAAGTTACTGTGATACTGTTCAACGCAATAATGCAACTTTGCATTATTGTAATGATAAAAATAGTTCATTGCTAAGTAGTCATTTCCTTTATTTCAGATAATTGTTCCCATCACTATTCCACCATCACTGTCGTATTCTCTCCATCTAGTTGCGATGTTGCCAAATCATGGATAGTAATATACTAATTTGGTTTGTCTAATTCTTACTTATATAATAGCACAAAAATGTACAATCGGCACAGGATTGTTATGAAAATGCGATTTGGAGGTGTGGCCGGCAGGTTTTACTGTACTAAATCCACCCTACGATAGCGTTAACTAAAGAGACTTTTTGAAGAATGCCTCATGCCCTTCACAAAAGTACTTCGGTTATTATTTTTCCTATATTATAGTTATAATCCATTTACCTTTTGTATGTACTTGAAGAATTACTTAAAGAGAAGCTGATGTTACAAAATGTACATAATTCAATATGATATATCGTCGCTTGAATGCAGAAGTATTGTAAGTCACAAAATGCAAATTTTACAGGAGAGTCATTTTTCGTGTTTGTGTCTTGCCTAACATTTCTGACAAATTTCGGATACAGAATGTTTTACCAGAAAAAAGTATGACAAGTCCGTGAAAGTGGACTTATATTTGTTGCTGACATTGGACTTACAGTAGTTCTGTAAGTGATAATCTGCTCTTATCATAGTTCTGCAGCGAAATGACGCGCCTCAAGCTATTACGCCAAAATATCGTTCAAGACCAGTGATGGGGGAACGCTTGCGCAGGGACTTACAATACCTCTGCATGCAATGTTGGTGACTATGACCTACATTGTCATGTTAAAATCTGAAAAATGAATAATTTGGACATAAAATGGTTCTGCATTCAGGCGACGATATATGAGAAATAACTGAAAAACTAGCTGTGCAAATCACTAAATAATGAAAACATAACAAAAAACATTGCAAGTTTTTTGATGATTTGATGAAATGATCGTTGATCTTTATGAAACTATAGTGTTGGACGATCATATGTTGGGTGGACCTGGTGAGGTGGTCCAAATCGACGAATCGACGTTTATATGCAATGACCGATGGTGCCTTTTCCACTGTTTAGATACATACTGTTCAAAATATCATTTAGTTTTCGGTAAATATTGGGACAACTTTTCATAAAACAAGCCATTTACAATGAATTAAGACTTTTATTTTGCAAATAACCTCATTTCTACTTACCAAAAAGGATACAACCTGGCAACAATGGACATCATTTATCTTATCTGTCAAGAAATGAGCGTTATAAAATGGCCATTGAGAATTGTTTGTACTTTCAAATATTTCTTATAAACGCAAACACTTTGATTTCATTGAAAAAAATGGTTAAGGAATTTCAAGAAGATATTGAAAAATCACAAAACAACACCTCTACACAGTTTACCAAGTAAATACAATTACGTATGTATTTTGATCTGTTATTTAAGCTAATAAGCTAATGTGTAAAAACACGTCTGGTTTTGAACCTTTTTTTTGCAAAAAACAACGATTTTTTACAGTTTCACATCTATTTTCCTTAGTACTATACAGTGTATGTTATATTCTTATAATTTTGGAGCATCCTTTTGTACAAAAAGCAAAAAAAGACAGCATATAAAACAGTATTCTATTCTAGAGTATTACCCCCAAAAATGCAACTTCGAAGTTCTATAAAATAACAAGCAGAGGGTTCCTTAAAGAAAAAATGATATTTTCGTAAAAGTTACATCCTAATCTTTCATTTATAGATGAACTATCATATCGCAAACATTTCATTTCTTATTTCAAAACACATCGAATGAACCTCTATATGTGTGGTCCGAAACTTTATAGGTCAGGAGATATTTGCAATTTGGTGAAATTTTGAAAAAACTGGGATAATGAACTTTCAATCGCAATTACGACTAAACCATTTTATTGTTAAAACTGTTTCAATCCATCAGTCTATGTAGTATAAACCCTGAAAATTTCAGCTTGCGACGATGAGTGTATCATTTCACATTAACATAAACGTAAGAAACGCAATAGAATCCTTACCACCTATACGTACAGAACCTATTGTGTTTAGCCGCTCTTTATCGCGATTTACCGAAAAATGTGGAAGATTATTTTATTTAACTAACCTTCAAAGAACATGTTTCAAATGGCCTCCATTATTTTCTATACAGAAGCAACACCTTCTAATAAAATTGTCCTTTAATCTTTGAAACAAATTTGCGTTATCCATGATTTTCATTTTTGCTTCATCAGTATTCTGGCCCATTTGGTTGATATTTGTATATGCAGATGTCAACCAATCCCCATATAAAAAAATCTAGAGGATTTAGATCGGGTGACCTTGGAAACCATCGTATGTGTCCACCCCTACCTATTCAACGCCCAGGAAAGGCACTGCCTAAGTCAGGCCTCTCCAACTCAAGTGCTACCAGTGCAGCGCCGAGCACCGCTCGCATCACAGTGCTGCGTGATGACACCGTGAAGGTGGGGGAGGGATTAGGCAGCGGCATATGCATCGCGAGGAAGGTGTTGTGCTAACCGTAGCACGCTGCGAATAGAAATGACCCGGGAGCTGGTGGCATTGAGTATACCTTCATCGCGGATTGGACTAAATTTAGTAATTATATGTAGTTTTTAGGTAAATGAACAAGAAGAGCTCAGTAATTACCTGTCATACCGACTTAAACATACAGCGTGACCAGAGAATTTCACCGTCCTCACCGAATCCAATGAAGCCTACAAGGTTTGATGGAAATTTTACGCTCATTTGGAAAAACATGGTATGACAAACTGATTTCCGCCAGAAGTTTCTGTCGTACCGAGTGAAAGCTATAGCAGGCAATGCAAATAGATAAAAATAATACATACTGTTTGTATGCTTCATGTGTGCATTTAAAAGCTCATTTGAGTCTGTCAGTTTGACACCAGGCTACTAGATGTTTGAAAGTATATGTAAAATGAATATGAACCGTCATGAGCGTTGATATACGTATAGGTTATGGTAAAATCTTACCGTCACGTTGTATCTTCAAGTCGATCGGCATACCAAGCCCTTTTTGTCCATTTACTTAAAAACTACATATTATTACTAGGTTTAGTCGAATCCGCTAGAATGTTTAATTTCGCCGGCTCCCAGCCCCAACGGGAAATGAGTGGAGTGACATTCGTATTGACATTTGAATTGGTCTGACCGAGTCAACGCGCGGGTGATAAAATAATGTTCATAATTTCGACATAAACACAATTATGTTTAAGATGATCTTTGACAGCGTTTCGATTCAACAAGTTTTCTAATATTTGGTACAGTGGCTTCAGCAGTGGAAATTCTGAGTATCGCCTCTAAGGACACATCACACAAAGACCTGTTTTTAGTTTTGTTCAAATTTATTCTACCGAACATGGAGCAAGTTTCCAAGGCCAGTGCAAGAATTTTGGGAAAATCTTGCTGCTCAACACCTTGATAAAACGAAATTAAATTACTATTGTAGTGGTAGTATCTATCCTCAAGGATCGTATCGCGTTGAAGCTCAATCAGCTCCATTTGGAACTGCGGCGGTTCTGTTTCGAAAAGCACTGAAGATGGCGTCGTAAAAATCTCATTTGCATAAACATCTCAACGTCGTCAGTGATTTCGGAAAAAAAAAATCTTTAGCACTTTTGCGTCAAAATCCATCAAGTCGTTTGGATAGTACTAGATTGTAATACAGAATTTCTTGTTTACATGTATAGATACCCACCTGTGTTAAACATACAGATTTTTCAAGGTGAAGCACTTATCGTAGCAAGTTGAAGTTTCCAGGGTTCATTCTGCATGGATTGAAATATATTTTACAATAAAATGAATAATGAAACACAACCTCAATTTTTTTCACCGCCCTCCAAAGTTGAGGGGTGGAAGAAATTTTTCACAAAAAAATGAATTTAAGATTTTTTGCGTTGGTTTCTAATTATCTCTGTCAGAAAGTGACACACGTATTGCCAAAGCTAACCATTTAGCTAATCTAAATATACTTACAGCCCTAAACTTAAAGGTTTAGTTGTAATTGCGATTGAAAGTTCATTATCCCTTTTTTTTTTGGAAATTTCACAAAATTGCAAATATCTCCTGAACTATAAAACTTTGGACCACACATATAGGGGTTCATCCGACAGGCTTTGAGGTGCTCTATCACCTGACCACCGTCAATCCACTACTAAGCTTACTCGCTGTATACAGGGTGTCCGCAAAGTTGGGGTTTTCCTTTACACGACGTGTAGATCTTGAAAACATATGCAATTTTTCTTAGTACCATATACACGAATGTCTTAAGGGAACCGAAATAAAGGGCTCTGCAACATCAAAAATATCTGAATACCGTCCTGTAGTTGCGACCCGCCGCGATATCCCCGACAGGTACAAGGTCTCAACCCGACGGCAGAACTGGGTCAGTGTGCCAGGTTAGAATGCAACCTTCAACCGACGGTTACGGTCACGCATGTAGAGGTAATCGCGTAGACGAAAATCGCTCAACAAGCACTAGAGACGTGGCTAGAGAAGTGCAAGTATCAAAAACTAAAGTGTGGCGAACGCTGCGTGAAGAGAGGCTGTATCCGTTTCACGTCCAACGTGTACAAGCCCTTCAACCTGACGATTTTCCAGCAAGAGTGCGGTTTTGTTGCATCAACATGACAATAATCCGGACTTTTTGAAGTGCATATTGGTGACCGACGAATCTACGTTCACGCGTAATGGGGTGAATAACTTTCGCAACACTCATGTTTGGTCAGTAGAAAATCCGCACGCTGTCCGTCGGGCACATTTTCAACAAACATTTTCGGTGAATGTTTGGGCTGGCATGGTGAACGGTATGCTCATTGGACCATTTATTCTCCCAAATCGATTGGACGGGATGCAATACCTAGACTTTTCACGCAACATTTTGCCTTCCTTGTTAGAAGATGTGCCATTAAGAGTAAGACAATCAATGTGGTTTCTGCGTCTGCTCGGTGGCGCTTCAGCTGATTTCATTTTCTGTCGGAGCGGTATGATTTCGGGCAGAGACGTACTTAGCCCTTCTCGTCAACTGGAGAGTGAGTACTTTTTCCTTTATTTTTTTTTTACTTGGTTGCCCTCGTTTCACTACACATTACCTTTGTTATTTCAAGGGTAGTTGCTTCTAAAAAGGAAAACCCCAACTTTGCGGACACTCTGTATGGAAGAACGTCTACCGATTGTTATAACGTATGAAAATAAAGAGGAGCTTATCGCTTACTCCTCCAAATATTTACGTTTCGTACGAGAACACAGGCAGGAATATCCTGACTGTAAAAAGAAAACTTTAAAAATAATAGTAAATAGTGTTCCTTTAATAATAACATGAGATACAAATAAAGCAGTGCTTTATTTGTCGAATAAGAATTGGGTTTTGCACCCATGCATGGTTTCCATATTAACATTCCATTTCAAAATTTAACTAACAATTATCGTTCTCCGATCGCAATAATATTTATTTTTTGAGTTAGAGTCAAATGGGAAAAATTGGATAAAGTATGCCTATCTCAATTCGATCAAAAATTTGTTTGCCCTTGTAGATCTATAAAAAGCAGAAAAACGTTCTGATCCATACACTGTGCTTTATGAGGTAGACATGCTGCACAAAATTTCACCTGGCAAATCCTTGAATGTTTTTTATGTAAAAACAAATACCCAAAAAAAACTATGTCAAAAAAATCAGCTGTCAGATAGAATATTTCTAGAAATTATTTTACATCTTGCCGAAGCTATCCATGAGTGTAACTTTGTCCATTCTCCACTGGGTAAGTCCCGATGATAGCCATCCGCTGTATGCCGTGTACAATATCTCTATCCTGGTTGGTTGAGCTAGGATAGGATGTGGTACGATTATCCTGGAAATTGACTGTCCCAAAGTCATTTCTTCATCTTCTTTCCTGTAATCAAAGATAAATGCACTCAGCAATATGTAGAGGAAACCGAGGGGATTTAAAACAAAGGTGATTTGAAATAATACCGATTTCTCGGAACCTAAAGCCGTTAGCGTGTGGCAACGACGCTTTCCAACCACTTCCTTCCGCCCGCAGACGTGTCAGTTCGGGTCGATGACACAAGTCGCGCGGTTGTGTTCCAAGTGACAAAAATCGTGACAAGCAAGTTTTAAACGTTTTTCCCGTTGCTTATATTTTGATAAAGGTTTTGTATTTTGGTTTAAGTTATGTATGTATCGAAAGCTTAATACTATACATTTATACAAGGTGCGGCAGAGAGGACGCCAGTTTCTAACTATTCTCGAACAATGAGCTGGACAACCATCAAGCTGGAACCAGGCCAATCTTCTTAAATCTAACATAACAGCATCCCACATATTTGCATGTTCAGCCTTTAAAAATTCCAAGAAGGTCGCAGAATTTAACCTTGCAGGCAAAAGGTAGGGTCCAAATAGTCGATTACGGTAGATACTAATCCACACGTTCACACTAAATTCATGCTGAAAATTTCTTTCCCGAACGGCATCCGGATTTTCATGCGACCAAATGGCTGTAGTCCTTGCACAGGTTGCAAATGGTAAGGACGTCTATGGTCATTTTTAAGAACACGGTGAACATGGCTTGGTGAAATTCCCAAGGCACCAGAAACTCTCCTAACACTTGTGGTCGGATCTCTATCAAACTCACGCAGAATCATACGGGTAAATCTGCGCTGACGAACATTTATGTTTTGATCCTTTTGGTGATTTCCAAAACCATTTTCAATTATTTGGCGATGCACTCTTACAAATACTGAGCGAGTTGGATGTCGTCTGTTTGGAAATCTTCGTGCGTATTCTCTGGCTGCTTGTGCTGCGTTTCCATTTACAAAGCCATACACAAAATGAATATCCGCTAACTCTTGATTGGAGAATAAAAATGGCATTTTTATAAAACTTACCAAAAAAAAAAAAAACAGGTAAAAGAAACTAAATTTCGTGCATTCACAATTCCAAAAAGACGTTTCAGGTTTCAACAGACAACAAAACTAATTGTCAACTAATTGACGTTTAACCTTATTCTGCTTTCAATTTCAAAAATATTTGCATGCACAGCCTACTTCTAAAAATTATCGAGATACTGACTTTTTAACGTTGTTTTATCATAAATAGTTAAAAATGCATCGAACCTTAGAAATCGAAATATCTCAAAAACGGCTAACTATAACAAAAATTTACTAGAGAGCTTTTTTATGTTGAAAAGTGCGAAGAATCATTTTTTTAATTCAAAAAGCAAAAAATCGCACTAAAAAAATTTTTTCTGTGATTTTAATACACTACAGGTACAGTAGAGAGCGCCCTCTAGCGGCTACAGTAAATCTATGCCCATGGTTCGTTTTGCCGTACCAAAAAACCCTTGTATACCAATTTTCGCTGTTATACATCAAATATTGATCGAAATATTTAAAAAAACTATTTTAGAAAGTAAATTTAAACACCCTGTATTTCGGAAGCCAGGCATTTTTCGACCAATGTTTATATAGACTTTATGCATTAATTTTAAAAGTTCTATCGAATCTTAAAGTAATGCAACAATAAACTGAAACACTCTGTATACTCGAAATCAACCTAAAAATCTGGACGGAGAGATCAATACATACCTAGTCATCATAAATGTTTCATTGAGCAAAGATTCTCCTACTACAGTGATCTGGATCTTGCCGTAGCTTTTTACAGGAAGCGGGCTTGGTAGAGATTCGATTTTGACGTGGTACTGATAAGCTAAAAAGAAAAACTGAAGTCAAAGTCTGATGAACACATTTTCATTTTAAAGGGAGTGCGTGATGCTTTCAATTATTCAATCATTGTTGTAAATCTTCTGCACCAAGGTCTACGTCATCGAATGTACAATTGACGCTTACATAATTGAATTGAAGATCACATTTGACTAAAACTGTAAGTTTCCATATTTAGGAATAGTTTCCAGTTAGATATTTGTTCGACTCTGAAATTATCTAGCTCGTATTTACCACAAAACGGCTCTTCATCCCTCGTCGTCAGGTACAGTTGTCCTCTACCTTTGGACCTATCAGCATAGTAGCCCATGTTGCCGCACTGCCTGAAATAAAAGAAAAAATAAATTACCGACTTCACATTCTGTAGATACAGTGGAAATCTTTTAAATCTGCATTAACTCCCAAACTGCAATGAATTTAAATCAGGTGGAAGACATGCACAATCGGTAAACTAGCTTATTTGTATCAAGCTCAAAAGCAACACCATCTTTGACCGTCGCGTCGTCGTGAGGCTTAATATTCTTGAGTTTCTTATATACAATGAAAGTGTCTAAACAAGGTTCCAGCGGCTGGTTCAACAAAACGAGCTATACTTCTCGTCGGAGAAGATCAAGGTACGCAGAACCTTCTTACAAAAGCCCACAGGCAAGCGGATTTTGCTCTAGGAACAAAAATTAGGCACAGAGTAATGTCGCAATGAAATGCTGACATTCAGGCATAAGACGGTAAGACATCAACAAAGCTTCTGGCCCGAACTTCATTCTTGTCGTTGTACTGAAGGAATTGTGAAGCTGATCTTGCTCCAGTTCTTTCGCGTCTCTTCCAGATATCTTACAAATCCGGAATTCGCTCATGTACAGCCCATCCCAGGAAAAAGATTTAAGACCAACTCTCTCTTTCTGTTGTAATATATCAAGTAGTGTTGTCTCCTTTACGTCCAGTATTGATGTTGTCGGTGGCAAGTTGATTCCTAACTATAACCTGATATACGTATTTGATATTTATATTCCTCCTAGTACTACCATATACATGGACCGAGAAAAAATAAGGGTAAGTGGCGATGCTATTTGACGATTGTTGGTGGAAACCGTAATACTCTAAGGGCTACGGTTTCCGAGATATGATTATTTTCATCTTTTTTGCTGAATGATTATACAGGGTGCGGCAGAGAGGATGGACGGTTTTAAAAAAATCATAAAATAGTTAATCTTTACTCGAAAACAATTGATGGAATCAGGTTCACAAGGAAATAGCATTCGAGACAGTCAAGTGTGGAAAATCACATCAGGCATGTGGTGGCCGAAATCGTTGATGCAGTGCTGGAGGCGTTCTTGGAAGTTCGCGTAGACTCTTTCCAACATCGCTCTCTCAACTTGGGCGACTTCCACGCGAATTTCGCCCTTCAATTCGTCCAGAGTTCGGGGCTTGTTCGCGTATACTCTAGCCTTAAGGTGTCCCCTTGAGAAAAAATCACATATGGATAAATCTGGGGACCGAGGAGGCCAATGAACATCGCCAAACCTGGAAATAAGGCGGCCAGGGAAGAGAGGGCGAATAACGTCCATGGATGCTCGGGCTGTGTGGGCGGTCGCCCAATCCTGCTGGAACCACACACGTCGGATTGGAACACGTCGCCGTCGTAAATGTGTGGGATGATGTTATGTTAGATTTATGAAGATAGGCCTGGTTCCAGCTTGACGGTTGTCCAGCTCATTATTCGAGAATAGTTAGAAACTGGCTGGACGAAAATCATCCAGAAAGATGGATCGGCCGTGGAGGACCAGTCGCCTGGCCTCCACGATCCCCTGACCTAAATCCATTAGATTTCTTTGTGTGGGGATTTCTAAAAGAAAACGTGTACCAGACTCCCGTAACCACAAGAGATACGCTAATAGACAGAATGAGGAATGCATGTGATGAAATAAGGTCTTATTTGAATAATGCTATACCACGTTCGATCATTCGTAGATGTGAATTGTGTATTGAACAATTGGGTTTACATTTCGAGCAACTACCTTAGATTTTGTATGTTTCTCCTAACTATCCAATAGCATTTTAGTTGTAAATAATTAATTTAATTTGTTAAAAATAATATTGGAAAATTAAACAAATTAATATTCTGTTTTTTTTTTCTGTTTATTTGGAGTTAGGAATTATTGCTGTGTTTAAAAACGAAATCTAAACGATCATCTTAATTACTTGTAATACCCAAATCGAAAATGTAAAAAAACAGTATTTTCCCATAAAAAATAAAAATGCATCGAATTTTAAAAATCGAAATATCTCAAAAACGGCTAACTATAACGAAATCTCACATGAGAACTTTTTTATGCAGAAAAGTGCGAAGAATCAGTTTTTTTATTCAAAAAGCAGAGTTGCACTAAGAAAAAATTTTCTGTCATTTTAATGCACTACAGGTACAGTAGAGAGCGCCCTCTAGCGGATACAGTAAAGCTATGCCCATGGTTCGTTTTATCGTACCAAGGAACCCTTGTATACCAATTTTCATTGTTATACATCAAATATTGTTCGAAATATTTAAAAAAAACTATTTTAGAAAGTCAATTTAAACACCCTGTATTTCGGAAGCCACGCATTTTTCGACCCATGTTTATATAGACTTTATGCATTAATTTTAAAGGTTCTATCGAATCTTAAAGTTATGCAACAATAAACTGAAACACCCTGTATATTAGATAATAACAACATAAATTCGAGTCGATTCTGTATAGCATACTGAATCAGATGAATATTAATGGATTGTACAACGCTTCTCCATAAAATGAGTTATGACCTTCCAAAGTCGTGAAATAGCGCGGAGTGAATAAACAGCTTCAAATTCAAAATTCGATTACAAAAAAACTATACCTCTGGTGATAAGTAGTTTTATTTCAAAAAGTTCCGTATTTCTTTGCCTTTCCAACGATATGCTACGCATCACAGAAATAATTTTACATTTTTATGTAATCGTATTTTCGAAATGACTGCCTGCACTTGTTGAGAATAATAGAATTAGCAAGGGCCAAGCAGTATACAGATTAGAAATACCTCTTATGCAGTTGGATTTGAGGTTAATGACATCAGATACCTTGATTACCATAACATCTTAGGGTATTAATGACGACGGTCTACAACAATTGTACTATTTGGCTCAACAAGCAATTATTTTACTTAGCTATGATTTAAAACGATTTATCATAAGTGTTCAAAACCACTGCTATTAATGTCTAATTCCATAACTTGACAGGTATGTATTCCAGGTATCGTAATCTCAGATAAACTTGCCCGTGTTGGATTCCTGAGCTCACATGATAATTACATTTCAATTACTGTCCTCATCATCTCATAGATAAAAGAGTGCATTACGAAATTATTGCTAGTAACATCGCCAGTGCCACTCTGAGACTTAACCACTTCCCGCGGCGGTGGCGGGAAGCCCAGGTTATAATGCTCACCAAGCCAGGCAAGGACAGGAAGTTGCCCCAGAACTACCGGCCCATCAGCCTGGTTTCCTTGATGGGCAAAGTAGTCGAAAAAGCTATCGCCGTGCGACTAGAGAAGCAGGCAGAAGAACTGCAACTTCTCCCCCCAGAGCAATTCGGCTTCAGATCCTCCCACAACACGCGCTACGACTGACAGAAAACATCACCAGCGGCTTCAATCTCCAGGAGGCAACCAACCTCGTCCTGATGGACGTGGAACGAGCCTTCGATCGAGTTTGGCACGATGGACTCATCGCCAAAATGGAAGCCGCCGGAACCGATGCGAACATCTGCCAACTGATCCAGAGCTATCTAAGACAAAGATGGTTCACGGTGAAGATTGGTACATGCCATTCAACAAGACGACAGCTGGAAGCAGGCGTGCCCCAGGGATCAGCCTTAGCCCCCCTGCTCTACAACATCTATACTCACGATGTGCCGAAGACAGCTGACACAATGCTGGCCCTATATGCAGACGACACTGCTATAGCCGCCAAGCATCGACGACCCGAGATCATCCGTAGGAGACTACAGGATGAACTGGACCACATCCAGGACTGGTGCGTGAAATGGAAAATCCGCATCAACGTCCAGAAGACGCAGGCAATCTTCATTCAACGAAGAAGGATTGCAAGACCTCTCGAAGCATCCATCTTCGACGAAGATATCCAGTGGAGCGACAATGTCAAATATCTGGGGATCGTATTTGACAAGTCCCTCACCTGGAAAGACCACATAGAAGCTGTCATCGCAAAGACCAGAGCAGCCATGGCTCAACTCTACCCATTACTGGGTAGACACAGCAGGATGCCTCTAGCGACCAAGCTACGGCTGATCAAGGCCATCGCCAGACCTCAGCTCGCTTACGCCTCCGCGGTCTGGGGGTACGCTGCCCCCAGCTACCGCAAGCGACTTGCTGCTCTAGAGATGAAGCTACTCCGGATCGCCACCAGTGCACCATCCTACGTAAGAAACTCAACCTTGCGTAGAGACCTGCATTGGGACACCATTCACGAGTACATGTGGAAAAAAGTGGAGAAGACCTTCCAGAAAGCTCAGGACCACCCGAACGAGCAGCTACGATTCCTCATGGACTACGATCCGGACGAGAGGCCTCGCAACCGCAGAACCAGGTACCCTAGACCAAGGTCCCAGTTAGCACCCGCTAACTGGAACCATGACTAGGAGACTAGGAGAACCCGCGGTTGATCCCCCCCCCCCCCCCACGGCGTGGATGCAGAGGACCAGGAACCACCGGGACCAGGACCCACCTGGACCAGGACCCGCCACGACCAGGACCCACCAGGACCAGGACCCTTCAGGACCAGGACCCTTCAGGACCAGGACCAGGAACAATATATAGGTAAGAGAACTTGAAACTCTTGATTTTTCGAAAACAAGAGTTTCAAGAGAACCTAGCAGACCCTCTATCGATGATCGCTTAACGACATCGATAGAATGTGCGAGGTAAAGGGAACCAACCCGGCGTTCCCAGAAACTGAAACACTTGAGGAGACGTTGTAGCAGACCGCAGGTCACGCACAACACATGGCCTACCGAGACGCTGATGAGTCGGGCCACGCGGAGGTTAGGGTTTAGTGGGTATTAGGTGGTCTCCTCAAGACAACCTGGAGTCCCACACACGCCGTAGATCGGGCTATGGTATGGTGCGTAAACGCATTCCCCCCTCACCAAAAAAAAAAAATAAATTGCTAGTCGAGCTTTGACTATATGTCATACCAGAAGTGTATTTGCGTTTGATTTTGTCGTCTCTGTTTTTTAATTGTTAGTGTTTTCACCGTCATTATCAAGCTTCATTGTTGTAACAATGTGGCGGTTCA